GAATTATTGCTTTCTGGTAATACTAAATCAATACTAAATATAGAACATAAGCCTATTGGGCTTAAGGATCAGGACTATTTGAAAATAAGCCTGTGTTAAATGGTCTGGCTAACCACTGAAATGAAAATACCAGCAGTCTCCAGGACCCCTACAGTTTAAAATTACAAAAAGAACTCTAATGTAGTCATCCTGTTTTGTTGCCCCTCCTTAAAGACATAATTATTTCTGAAATATATGAAAAAAGAGTTAAAGAAAATATGATTAAAGGTTGTTACTGGTACAACATTAAAGATTATTTTTGTAATGTTATACAACTAACAATTTATTTTTAAATAAAATAGTTGTTTGGCCAATGTTATACACACCTAATTAGCACCTAATGTGCTTTTGAGAACTAGAAAAAAACTAATTTTCATGTGGCATCAATTCACCCTTTTTTTATTGATTTCAGAGAGGAAGAGAAAGGGAGAATGAGATAGAAATATCAATGATGAGAGTCATTGATTGGCTGCTACCTACATGCTCCCTACTGGGGATCGAGCAACCTGGGCATGTACCCTGACCAGGAATCAAACCATGATCTCCCTGTTCATAGGACAACACTCAACCACTGAGCCATACCCAGCCGAGCAATTTATTCTTTATTTAGAAACTTTTGTTGATTGACCACTGTAATTGAATATTAGTGTCACTTTGCCAACAATTTATTTATGCATTCATTGGTTGCTTCTTGTGCTCTAAGGCTGGAACCTGCACTGAAAGGTTGCTGGTTCCTTTCATGGTCAGAGCACATGCCCAAGTTGCTGCCTCAGTCCCTGGTAGGGCTGTGCAGGAGGCAGCCAATTAGCTCACATAGATGTTTCTCACTCTCCCTTCCTAAATTCAAACATCTTTAAAAAAAATACATACAGAACAAAACCTTTTAATTTTACCATTCCACACATGAAATATAATGTCCAGTTTCTCAAAAATAATATTCCACTTTGAGATAAATCCTATATGGTCTTTATATCAAAATCAAAACCTCACTGAATTTACTAAAAATGTGTATGATTTTTTTTAAAGGTACCATATCTCTTTTCATTCAAAAGCACTCCTTTGGAGTGGGGAAGCAGGGAAGCTTAATCTCTATAGATGGATTTTTTTTTTCATTGTTGACATTACAGATGTTCCTGCTCCATCCTTTGCCCACCTCCAACCAACCCTCACCCTCCGAATAGATGCCCTTTTAAATTGGTACACTTTTTATTGGATCAAAACTTTAAATATATATAGTCTTTACTTCTGGAGCTTTAGTCTAAGGAATTACTTGCATTAGAACATGAAGACATATGTGAGACATAAAACAATTCCAGTTCATCCATACACTGTGATACTGTTAAACAGAATGTGAGGAATCTAGTTGTACTGATGATACCTTGTAATGCTGTCCAAAGAAGACAAGGTGCAGTTCTGTAGGTACAGCATGATCCTACTTGTGCTGAAAATGTGTTTGTTATATATGCACACGAGCATTTAGAAGACTACACATCAAATAGGGAGGAGTAGGCTTGTAGATAAGGGAAATTTTCATATTTTGCTTTATATATCATTGTATATTTTAATTTTATACAATGAACACATTACTTTTTAAAAATTGAGGCAAAATTCACCCTTTTAAAGTGTATGATTTGTGGGTTTTAGTATACTCACAAAGTTGTATAACCATCACCACTATCTAAGATGTTTTCATCACCGCAAAAAGAAACACTGTACCTGTTAACAGCCATTTCTCATTCCTTCCTCTGCAGCCTCTGGAAACTACTAATCTGCATTCTGTCATTATGGACATGCCTATTCTGGACATTTCATATAAATGGAATCATATAATATGTGACCCTTTGTGACTGGCTTCTTAGTATAATGTTACCAAGGTTCATCCATTTTGTAGCTGGCATAAGTATTTCATTTCTTTTTATGACTATACTAGAGGCCTGGTGCATGAATTTGTGCACCAGAGGGGTCGCTCAGCCTAGCCTGCGGGATTGGTCTAAAACCGGATCTCCTACATCCCCCGAGGGGTCCCGAATTGCGAGAGGGTGCAGGCCAGGCCAAGGGATCCCACCGGTGCATGATCAGGGCTGGGGAAGGATGCAGGACGTGGGTCAGCTGGGGAGGGACCGTGGGAGGACTCCAGGGCATGTCCAGCCCGTCCCACTCAGTCCCAATCGGCCAGACCCGAGCAGCAAGCTAACCTATGGGTCATCTGCCCCCTGGTGGTCAGTGCAGGTCATAGTGAGCAGTTGAGTGGCCCTAGCATATTATTAATATATTATGCTTTGATTGGTGAACAGATGACCGGACACTTAGCACATTAGGCTTTTATTATATAGAATGTGAATTTTTTAAAGAATATATATCTTTATTGATTTCAGAGAGGAAGGAAGAGGAAGAGAGAGACAGAAACATCAATGATGAGAGAATCATTGATTGGCCACCTCTTACATGCCCCCTATGAGGGATTGAGCCTGCAACCCAGGCATATGACCTTGACCAGTATTGAACCCATGACTTTTTAGTCCGCAGGCTGACACTCTATCCACTATGCCAAAACCAGCGAGGGCTAGGATGTGAATTTTATAAATAAAAAATCTATAAATAGCTCTGATTTTAAAAATACTTATAAACAGAAAAACCTTACCCTTTTGTACAAATCCCTTTATAAAAACTCAGCAGCTCAAACTCCAGTGTCCATATTAAACTACAGTTTGTTTCTATTGCCATGTTCCTAACACTCCCTTGAATACCTACTCCATCAGGTCCCATTTTATCCAGCTGCATCTTCTCTGTCTCCCTGCCACTGCCCCTATTTCCAATATAAAAAGACATTTATACCCACAGAGAGATAGATATATCCAAAGGTATAATCTGAATGTCTATGGATGTCTTATCTTTTGACAAGGACCCAGATATGAATGACTGACTTGACTTCAGTACACTAAACATATACAGAACATGTCTTCTACAGTGTGGTATTTTATAGTTTTCATCTTCTGAAAAAAAGTCAAGAATAAAATTTTTCTTACGTCCTTAATGTAGTTATGTCATTATCTTAATAAGGCAAAATTATGTAACATGGGTTGATAAGTAAAGCAGCACTGTGTCTCCATAAGACTCTAATATATAATATAAGATGGATTGGGTCCTGGCCAAGTGGCTCAATTGGTTGAGCTTCGACTCATGTACCGAGAGGTCACTGGTTCAATTCCCAGTCAGGGCACATGTCTGGGTTGGGAGCTGGATAGTCAGTAGAGGGCATGCAGGAGGCAGCCAATAGATGTCTTGCTCAGCGATGTCTCTCTCTCTCTCTCTCTCTCTCTCTCTCTCCCCCTTCCTCTCTCTCTCTAAAAATCAGTAAAACAAACATATTTTTTAAAAAAGATGTCCCAGCCAGCATGGTTGTGGTTGAGTGTTGACCTAAGAACCTGGAGATCACCATTTGATTCCTGGTCAGGGCACATGCCCAGGTTGTGGGCTTGATCCCCTGTGTGGGGCGTGCAGGAGGCAGTCGATCAATGATTCTCTCATCACTGATGTTTCTCTCTCTTTCTCCATCTCCCTTCCTCTCTGAAATCATTTAAAAAATATAAAAAAATAAAATAAAAACAAAAATTTGAAAAAAAAATGGATTGGGGTTTTCTCTTACAAAGACAAGCTGGCCATTTGCTGGCTGTAGAATACTCTTAGGAAATTCTACCAGATTTATGCTTTGGAATGTCCTCAGCAATTGCTGATGACTGCAGTTGAAAACCAAAACAAAGCAAAACACCAAACACAACAACCCAGTTGTCAGTAGTTTAAATTAGCTAAAGAAAACCACATACATCCCTTCTCCATAATTTTATAGTGGTAATTAAAATGAAACTAAATTATGGATTTTACACACACACACACACACACACACACACACACACGTGTGTGCGCAAACCACTATTAGGTAACATTTTCAGAAAAGCACACCATCAAATAGTTCCATCATTAATCAGAACCTACTGCTTGATATTTGCCCCCCTCTTGAGTAGGAAGGCAGGTTGGGAATTCTGTGTATAGAATGAGCATATTCCACTAATTAAAACTTTGATTTCTGCCTGAATATGATCACCTCAATATATGAGTACGGTACTAGAAGCAAGCTGTCCATGGTAAAGGGAGTAAATTTAAATCTATAAAGTGAAATCCCTTCATGACAAAGATATTAATCCTGTACCCTTATTACCAATCTGATTAACTATATTAGGAATTTTGGGTTATTTTCAAAATCACCTTTTAACTAAGTTGTAGAAGGTGTGATTTAGGCCATAGGTACTAGTATCTGAATCATCCTATCTAATAAAAGACAAAAAGGGTAATTGACCGTACCTTTGCTACGCTTCCCATTGGCTAATCAGGGTGATATGCAAATTAACCACCAACAAAGATGGCAGTTAATTTGCATATGTAGGCTCCAAGTGGTGGAGCGAAGCTAAATGTACCCGAAGCCTCAGCGGAGCCAAGGCCTCACGGCCCAGGGATCAGCAGAGCCGTGAGGCCTCACCGCGCCGGGATCAGTGGAGCTGTGAGGCCTCCTGGCCCCTGCAGTAGCGTGACAGGGGGCAGCACCCAAACCCCGTGATCACCCTGTGGCTCTGTGTGTGACAGGGGGCGGCCAGAGCCCAGCCAGAGCGAGGGCCTGGGTCCCAGGTGCCAGAGGAAAACTGGTGCCAGCAGCCAAGGGAAGGGAAGGCCTATTGCACGAATCTCTTCATGCAACAGGCCTCTAGTATAATAATAAGAGAACTAAGATGTAATGCAGTTCTATTGTATTTGAAAGATTGCTGTCTCTCCATGATAAAACCTTTTATGTTGTGAAACTTTGAACTAAACTCAAATTCAATAAAGCAAGACTAAAAGGAACACAATACTATTGCTGTTACAAATAAGCTTCATTATACCCTTTAACAAAAAAGACATACATACGAACATGAAAGTCATAACTCATTTATTGAATGAATAGTATATGCAATACCAATAAAAGGAAGCTAGTGCTACAAACTACAATTTTGAAAATAAAGCCAATATAACAGGAACAAAATATACATAACAAGAGAGGAATGTTTGATTTTGACCCCTAATGCATTCCTTATCTTTACAATTAACCTAAATGTCTGTTAGAACAAAACTGTATGCCTTGGTCTAACTTGAACGCTTTTAAAAAAAAGCAACATTCTGGAAGAACACTTTTCTTTTGCTTTGAGATATTTAAGATTCACACATTTGTTCAAGTACATAGATTCTGATTCAACAGTAGATCTATATAGCTTGTTATTCTCTTAACATCTTGAGTAGCATGTACTCCTGAGCAAGTACTATCTGAAATTCTATAATTGCTGACTTTTGAAATAAAATGTATCAGTTGTGGGTTTTTAATAAATTGAGATGAAAGTAAAATTCACTTCCCCCCCCTCACCCCAGGAACAAAGAGTTCTTATTAAAGTATAGAAACTCAAGTCTATCTTTCTACTCTAAAGAACATTTCTTACTAACATTTCTGGTAAGGCAATAAATGCCCCAGAATAATCTTCAATATACGCTTGCAAAGATTACACTGTTTAATATCAATAACAAAAACAAAACAAAAATAGGAAAAAAAGAAAAAAGGAAAAAAGAAAAGTTGCTTTAAAATTTCAAGCTAAAATATGCGTAAAACACAGTCATGGCAGTATTTTTTGAAATGATGTAAATGTCATATACTTATCAAATAATGTCATGCTTATTAAAACTACAGTTAAGGACTTAAGAGATGAACAGTAAATACACTGCTGAGGTCCATTTTTCTAAATATTCATACCACAATGTACTACCCAGAAGATGATGATGCTACTTGGGAACATAAGTACTGTACAATTTTTACATTGTAAGGCACTTTTACTCAGCATGTGACAAATATGGATAGAAAATAAAAATATCGGAGGTTTACAATCAATGTTGATTTTTTCATGTGACTTCAATTTACATTTCAACTTTTAATGAAAGACTATTTAGCCAATCACACCACAGTGAGAAAAATAGGTAGCCAGCCACTTACCTAGCCAACCAAAAGGTAAAGTGCTATTCTGGTTGCTAGTGGCAGAGAAAGGGTTGAACAAACTCATACAAAATCATACACTGGATTACATAACAAATCCATCAACTAACAACTATAGTATTTGAAGTTCGTTACATGATTATTGACTGGCCATTATTACCCCTGGCACCTTCCATTTTTCCTAAAAACATCATTACAGTAGTTGTCCAAAAATGAAGGTGCTCTATTGTTTCATGGGTAAATCGATGGCATACAATGTAAAAAGGATCTAGACACAGTGATTCAAAGATTTAAAATAATGAGTTTCAAGCTGCTGTAAGGAAATAAAGTACAGATCCTTTGGGAAAAGTCACATAGCTTGGTAAACAAACATCTTGATCTGTCGTTGCACTTCAAGTCATGGTGAATTTTGTAAATTCATCACATACACATAAAAAAATCCAATGGCATATTTAGAGCAAGAAGAGCAAAACATATAGGGAGAGCAACCCACTACTAAAGCTAGTTTCTTTCTAAAAATAATAAAAAATGGTTAAAATAAAGCAATCATTGAGTCCCTTGATTTAAGTAAATGTGTGAATACACACTTGACAAATGTGTCTTTAAGGGACTAGCAGTTAAAAAAAATCAGTCATTAAGCACAGTGTAATTTTCCACCTGTTATATCTTAAAAATGGTTTCCCATAAGATACAAAATATCTTGATGCACAGTCATGTTAACATGATTTTTTTGTTTGCTAATTTGCTTTAATGTGGTAGGTTAACTAATCATTCAGAAATCCCTACCCTTGATAATGAGGTGTTATGGTAATATTAGGCAGATCACAACTAAAGTTTTTGGTTTTGCCATAAAGAAATATATAAATGTGCTTCAGAAGATAAATGGAAGAAAGTATCACTAGCTAGAAATGCCAGTGTGAAAATCCTTTCTAAAAGGCTGGATTCTTAGGCTTTGAGAAACAATCCTGATGACCCATAAAACAACGCCGAGCCCTACTAGAGGAAAAGTAGGGCACAAAAGCCAATTTAATAGATAAGCAAAGCACTGAATGAAAACATTAAAAAAATATTAAATAAAGTTTCTAACATAGTGGTCACAAAATTAAAAAATAAATACTGTTTTATGAAAAGACTGTTTTTTACTCTTAGAGCACATGAGACCTCCTTACATACTTTGGGCCAATATATGAAGTGTTCCACACGACACGGCACTTGAAAGGAACGGGTTTCAGACATGGTAGCTAAAGTCCTTAGTGAGTGGTAACCCTTTAAATCTTAAAGAGGTTTAATTTGCTGTTGCCAAATGTTAGTTTAAACTTGAAAGGATCCAATAATTTTGCTAGAAGCTCTTTGTATAACATGAAAAAAGAAGAGGTTTACTGTGAAGAGGATTTTGGCATAAGCACTGGAGCTCATAGCTTATAATCACCAGTTGCTTGAGTCCATGCTGGTCAGTGAGAACAACTTTACAGGAACCAAATGAAATGCTTTAGCACATTTCTTGGAAGAAATATTTAGCAGTTGCTGTCAAAGCCAAGAGAAAAAGAAAGTTCTCTTCATTTCTAGCCTTCATTACTTGAGTGTGAAAAAAAATTCACAAATTCCCATGTGTTGCGACCAGAGGTGTGTTTGCACTGTAAAGTGAAATTTGCTTATGCTTTCCCTTAAGTATGATCCACTAAACAAACTCAGACACTCTAAACAGAACTTTGTTCAGTACAGAAATATAGCTTACTTCATTGCAATATCTGCTTTAACTGTTGACACTATACACAGGGTTAATAGTGTTTCAATTGCTTCCCAGAAACTGCAAACTACAGCTATGTAATATCAACATGTCAAACTCTGCCATCTAGTGAGGAAGGCTCATAAAACAAACAAGACATTTTTAGGCAGTTCAATGAAGGATCTAAGAGTTGGGCAGTAAAAAGTTACAAACCCTTTTTGATTTTAGAAAACAGTGAAAAGAGAATAGTAGTTATGGATGTCTTATTCATTCCCAGTTTTCTAACTCTGTCCCATGAACCTGTTTAAAAGATGATAAAAAAATGTAAAATATGATGCTTGAGGGGAACACAATAAATATAATGTTATTGAGGAGGGAGGATATTTTACTGACTTGACATTACAATTACATTTATTGATAAAGTAGATAGCTTGTTTTTACTGTTACAAAATCTGCTAGTTTAAAAAACTATGCAAGCTCACACAATCCTCAGCATTCTAGTGACATGCTCAACTAAACATAATAGCGTTAAAAAAATCATACCGCACACCATTACTTCAACATGTTTTATCAATGTGTATTGTATTCTGACAACAGATCCGATATAATTAACTTTCATACCTAGTTTCCATTAAGTTGCTGCTGAGTTAGTCGTTGCTGATCAATTTCTAATCTTCCCCGGCTTTTACTCTCTCGTTCCTCATCTTCTTCATCTCTTTCATCATTTCCACTATGATTTTTACAATATAGTCTACAATAATGAAGGATAAAAAATCTCAAATTGTTTTGCTTCTGTTCATGATAATATATTTATGTCATGAGTGGATGAGGTTGATGCCCATTTAAAATATGAGTTTCCTCATTCACCCTTAAAAACACTTCACAATTAGTTACATACAGGTCCATTTCTATCTAAAAGATAGGAAAGTACTCTATTAATGAGATATTAAAAGTTCATCTGAAATAAAACCTTTGGTTTAGGATAAAAGCTACCAAATAAACCCAAATATAAAGCAATTTATCATTTTCCCCAATGAAATTAAAACCAAAGTTTTTGATATAAAATAATATTGCATGTCAACTGTAATTAAAAATAAAATTTTAAAAGAATTTTAAGGCTAAAGAAATAAAAACAAAGTTTTGGCCAACTTGAAAATATCAATTTAAAAAAATATCAATTTTAAGGTATAGAGATGAACACTCAAATTCTGTAATGTTTCATATTCATTATTTAAAAGCACATTCCAGGAAGTTATATATAACTAGAAGCCTGGAGCATGAATTCATGCATGGGTGGGGTCTGGCCGGCCCGCCTTGATGGAGGCTGATTGGGGCCGGCCAGGGAGAGGAGCTGCAGACAGTTGGCTGGCCAACACATCCCTGATGGGGGTAGGGGGCCCGCCAGAGGGGAGGGGCCGTGGGCAGTTGGTCAGCTGGGATGAGGGGCTGTGGGAGGTTGTGGGGGGAGGCAATTGGGGCTCCCATTGGGCTGGTTGGCCGCCACAGTGCACATCATAGCGATTGGTCATTTGGTCGCTTGGCTTTTATATATATATAGATTACTTTCTGTTCAAGATCTCATGTGACAATTTTATTCAAACCCTTCAAATGCCTTTTCATTATTAGTGTCCTGGTCTTCATTAGAATAACCTTATGGATCACCTGACAGTTTTCCAGGAACTGCATTTGGCTATGTCTCTTTTAATCTAGATTGGTTCCTCTAAAAAATTTCCCCCATGATACTCTTTTGAGAAGAGTTAGATTAGATACCTTGTCAGCTATACCACATTCTGGATTTGTCTAATTGTGGTACTGTTATTTGGTTCTCCCTCACACCATATTTCCTATAAACTGGAAATAAAGCCCAAGGGCTTGGTTAGCTTTAGGCTCAACTTTTTGTATGCAATCCTGCATACTTCAGGAGGCATGTAATTTCAGAATATTCCATTTTAGTGATGCTGTTTGATCATTTGGTTAAGGTGGTGGTGACAGCCAGAGTGATCCATTGTAAAGATAGGTTTTCCCCTGTAAAATTAGTAAGTAATCTCTGAAGTGATACTTTGACATCATGTAGTTCCAACAATCTTTTATTTGGACTCAGAAGACACAGTATAACTGAAATTCTTTGGTTTTTTTACAAAAATAGCAATGCAGGCGATTTTGGACCAGGGTTTAGGCCACTTTAATGTATATGTACCAATATTTTTTTTTATAGCTAACCAACCCTACTATAATCAAAGAATGGGCTGGTCTGAGCTCAGTTTTAGGTAAATTACAATCATGTGCTGCATAACAATGTTTAAGTATATGACAGATCACATACAGGAAGGTGCTCCCATAAGATTATAATGTAGCTGAAAAATTCCTATCGCTTAGTGACATCATAGCCACCATAACATCATAATGCAACACATTCTTCACGTTTGTGGTGATACTGGTGTAAATAAACTTACTGTGCCACCAGCTGTATAAAAATATAGCACATAATTATGTACAGTACTTAACAATTGATAATAATAAAGGACTATTCTACTGGTTTTTGTATTTACTATACTATACTTTTTATTGTTAATTTAGACTATACTCTTTCCACTTATTAAAAGAAAGTTTGCTGTAAAATAATATGTTGTATTACGCAGGCAACTGCCTCATTATACATCTCATGTTTACAGTGTCTCTTGATTGCATCATTTTCTCTTGTATTGTTTTGTAGAGTAACATGCTGTACAGGCTTGTAGCCTAGGAGCAATAGGCCATACCATATAACCCAGGTGTGTAGTAGACTATACCATCTAGGTTTGTATAAGTGCAGTCTATGATTTTTGTACAAGATGAAATTGCCTAGCCACCCGTTTCTCAGAACATATTCATGTCCTTAGGTGGTGCATGACTGTACACAAGATGAGAAGACAGAATAATTCTTGAAAAATGTTCAGTGGATGCCCTCTTGTGGTCAGCAATGGATAAAAGATGATCATATAGGAATTCATCAGCCACAAATGATCTAGAACTGAGTTTAACATGAGAAGTTTCTAACGTGTACATAGAATAAAAGATAGGCATGGGGTTGTGGGGAACAACAATAACAACTGACTTCTGACCTAGTTTTGTTCATTACTCCTTTATTCTCAAAATTTTTCCAAAGAACTATGGAGAATTTGTACTCTTCAAACACTGCACATTAGGAATCATGAGTTCAAATACCAAGAGTGAGATTCCTACATATTGCAGCTATGAAGTATCTTTCCCAAAATATAACCTGAATATAATTAAACCTCTGAACCAACTTATAGTTTATGGGAAATATGGAGGGGTAGAGAAATGAGGCAATAGCCTCATTAAAAAAGCAAATAGAGCCCAATTGGCCATGGCTCAATGGCTGAGCATTGACCTATGAACTAGGAGGTCACAGGTTAATTCCTGGTCAGGGCACAGGCCCGGGTTCGATCCCCAGTGTGGGGTGTGCAGGAGGCAGCCAATCAATGATATTCCCTCTTCACTGATGTTTCTTTCTCTCCCTCTCTCTCTCCCTTCCTCTCTGAAATCAATAAAAAAATATTTTTTTTAAAAAAGCAAATAGAAAAATCTAGAATGTAAGACTTTTAGAGGACAACTTATTGAGGTTCTTCAACAAGTAGGGGCAAAAGTTGACATGGAGCAGAGATTTCTCTAAATTAAGAGAGACTTAAGTGACACATCCATCAAATGCAATGTATGTATTGAGATTTGAGCAAAGCAAATCTAAAAAGATACTTTTAAGACAATTGGAGAAATGTGATCTGAATATGAGATGATAAGAACTTATTTTAAAAAGTGTGACAATGGCATAGTGATTAAGTAAGGAACACCCATATTTTAAAGAGATGCATACTGACGTATGTAGGGATAAAATAACGAAATCTGGGATTCTGCTTTAATATACCCCAGATCAGTGGTCACTAACCTTTTGGACTTCACGGACCACCAGTGGTCCGCAGAACACCGGTGGCGACTGCTGCCCCAGATAATATGCTTTAATCTGGGTATATTAAATCATAGATGAAACAACTATAACAATAACTTAGTACCCCTGAGATAGGGAGTTGATGTAGGATTCTATTTTTGTATACTTTCAAAATTTTTATGATAGAGTTTTATCTAAAAGGATAAGCCCTTTGTTATTAGAACAAATTTTAATCTTTTTATGGGATTATTTTTCACTCATATACTATTTCCCATGGGTCCATTACATGTCCTTCACCAATCTAGACATCAAGGCCACAGCTGTCGATTGGACAAACAAGATCACTGCTGTCACAGAACTTACTTTTTTATGGTGGGAGACTGAAATTTAAAAAATACATATTTAAATAGTTTAAAAATATAATAAAGATAATAAAATAGGATTAAAAACAATCATTATATATGAAGGGAAGCATGGGACTTGGTTGGAAGTCTGTAAGGAGGATTCTTTGAAAGGTCGGAGGCCTCTAGGGGAACCTTGCCGAAGGTGGCAGACCCTGCCTTGACTTTTCCAAACAAGTCTGAGCCTGTGGGTGCTTTACTGGAATCTTTATGTTTAGACTCCAGACGTCCTTGCTTAAAGGACACTGCAGATGCATGTGTTTTCTCAACAATATTTACCCTGCTGATAACTTAGAAGTTGATAGTATGTAGAGGTTAATTTTAGTTCAAGCTGTTGCTACAGTAAAAGCCTACAGTAAAGGTGAACGTGGCTGTCTGGTTCCTTTAGCCAGTCAGTCCCTTAGCCCTCTTTCACAGAAACATGTGTCAGAGTAATCATTCATCCAATCATTTATCCGTCGCTCAGGGTCTGCTGGTCAGCCCTGGCAACTATATAATCTTCCTTTGCCCTTTAAATATAAATATATTCAGGATCCAGAAAAGGCTGGTAAAACAAGCCACACAGAATTCCTGCCTTGACTTTTCCAAACAAGTCTGAGCCTGTGGGTGCTTTACTGGAATCTTTATGTTTAGACTCCAGACGTCCTTGCTTAAAGGACACTGCAGATGCATGTGTTTTCTCAACAATATTTACCCTGCTGATAGCACTTAGAAGTTAATTTTAGTTCAAGCTGTTGCTACAGTAAAAGCCTACAGTAAAGGTGAACGTGGCTGTCTGGTTCCTTTAGCCAGTCAGTCCCTTAGCCCTCTTTCACAGAAACATGTGTCAGAGTAATCATTCATCCAATCATTTATCCGTCGCTCAGGGTCTGCTGGTCAGCCCTGGCAACTATATAATCTTCCTTTGCCCTTTAAATATAAATATATTCAGGATCCAGAAAAGGCTGGTAAAACAAGCCACACAGAATGAAGCCACTTCATTCAGAAATACTCCT